CGCCCCTTGAAGCCCTTCATGCCATAGGCAGAGCCTCCACCTTCACCGGCAGCGGCGGTCAGCTCCTTCCTCCGAAACTCCTCTTGAAGAACTTGTGCGCGAATCCACTCAAGGGACCACGAGTCCTTCATCCCATTAAGGTTGACCACCAAGGGCCCCCACGACTCCGGCAGCAAGGAGAGAGCCTTGTAGCACTTGATTTTCTCAGGGTAGTCCACACCAGCAGCTGAGAGCTTCACATAGAGGTCCCGGAGTTGATCGAACGCTCCTTGTACGGCATCACCCTCGTTGATCTTCACCGCATGGAGTTGTCGCTCGAGCACCACCACCATTGCTTCGCTGCTGGGGGCATGGACATCCTTCAATATCCTCCATGCCTTAGGACCACACTCAGCTTCCTTGATGAGATGCTTGATGTGGTGCAGCTGGTTGGATGAGAGGCATTGGGAGAGAAGGAAGAATCCATCCTTGGACCGGCGATCCCATTCTTTGGTCGCTCCTTCGCTCGTAGGCCTCTTGAATTCTCCATCCATCACTTCAAGCAGCCCATAATGGTTGAAGAGGAGCTCCATCCTGAAGCTCCATGATGCCCAATCATCCCCAGAGAACTTCTCCAGGTTGAATGCCTTCACATCATCCTTAGCTGATGTTGAAACTGAAGCCATTGGCGCAGATCCGCCTGCAACGCCTCTTCCCGCTTCCCCAGCGCCTCTCACGCCACCACTGCCACTGGGACCAGCTGGAGCAGAACCTTCAGCCTCCATTTTCACCCACGAACAGAGTAGAACAGCTCTGATACCACTTGTTATAGTCTGCAGTCCACTTAGGGGTCGCGGATGCCCATGAAACCGCCTAAGCAGAATCTGACGTCTTCAAACCGCCTCTGTTCAAAACGCCGTCACGATCAGCTCCGAGAACATACGAGGCTGAAACTTGGACAGCGGTTAGCCTTAGGTGTCTGCTTTCCAACGGTATATTACTTGCTATTATCAGAGGTGTGTGCACTACGCAGTGAACGAAAACGTAAGCTCGGCTGAAAAAACGTGTATTCTCATTGATGCAAGGAAGAGGTGAGTACAAAATTGCCTAGGGGACTCATAAGGGGTTGGGTCATCCTGGGAACTCAGAGAAGGTTGAGTCCTAGGGGAGAAAGGCTAGAGAAGAATGGGAAACGTCCTAGCTAGGTCAGCAAAGCCAACCACACTTGGATGTTCAGAGCTGTACTCAAGGCTACCAATAGTGAGTCAAGCCAACATGAGTCAGCTTGTCTTCCCACTTGCACCCTCTTGCAAGTTGCTTCCAGGAAGACCACACTTCTCAAAAGGAGGGTTATAGAGTCCCACTTGACCACCTGTACTTCTTGTCTCATTCTCTGTCCCTGCACCATTGGCATGACAACAATGAAAGGGTGGCAAGGGAAATGCTGCCAACAGTGCACCATGACTACGGAACAGTGAATTTCGGCAGCTGTCACGCAATGCTCAGATGTTGGATCGTTCTGAAACTTGGTGACCACTTGCACAGCGGGGCAAAGGACTGCTAGACCGAATTTCAGACCAATCAGATCTCTGTAGACGAGTCAGCAGCCGAAATGGTGAACTCGGGTGTTACCAAAAAGGAGTAACACACACTTCCGGGATGCCATAAGTCTTGAAACATAAAATGTTGTCATGCCTTGGTAACTGCTTCAAAAACTCTGAAACTTTGAGGGTTTGAAGAAAACGTGTTGAACAACCTCCCCACAAAATTCCAGAAGCTGAGCAGGCTTGTAGGCCGAATGGGAGTGCGATGACCGTGCCACTGTAATGTGTTGGCACAACAGTTGCAGCAGTTTCTAGGCTATGCCAACTACTACAACAGGTTCGTGCCACAGTACGTTAAGATAGCAGCACCACAAAAGGATACGCCCTTCAAATGGGATACTCCTCATCAGCAAGCCATGGAACAGCTCCAGACAGCACTGACCACAGCGCCAGTACTCATCCTACCGAACCCAGACAAAGACTACGTAGTTGAAGCAGATGCTAGTGACCAGGCAGTCGGAGCAGTACTGATGTAGGACGATGGACACGGGTTACAGCTTATCGCTTACCTCAGTAAGAAGCTACACGGAGCAGAACTGAACTACCCCATTCACGACAAGGAAGCCTTAGCCATAGTCGTAGCCTTCAAGGCGTGGAGGTGTTACCTAGGGGGAGCCAAGATCACAGTCTATACTGACCACTGCAGCCTCAAACACCTGAAGTCGCAGCCGACGCTTTCACGACAACTGGTGCAGTGGGTAGATTTCTTGGAGACCCACTTCCACTACGACATCGTCTACAAACCCGGGCTACACAACAAAGCTGACGCGTTGAGCCGCCCCGGTCATGTAGCAGGCATCCAGCTCGACGGGATGAACCCTCTGCTCAAGGGTCTATTCCAACATGGGTACTCCGTGGACGCAGAGATAGCAACGGCAGAGAAACAGAAGCTGTTACAGTGGGAGAAAGACTTAGCGGTAAGGAAAGGCTCAGGAAGAATTTGGGTACCGAATTACGCCCCGCTACGGCAGATCCTATTGGAGGAGTTTCACGACATTTCGGGAGCAAAAAAACGTTAGCGGGAATAGCAAAGTATTACTATTGATCGCGGATGGCAGCAGACGTGTAGCAGTTTGTCACGTCATGCGACACATGTCAACGGATGAAGAGTAGTAAGCAGAAAAAAGGAGGGTTACTTCAGCCTCTATCCGTACCGGAGCAGCCATGGCAGATTGTTAGCCTCGACTTCATCACAGGACTTCCTTCGACCTCACGACGGCATGACGCCATCCTCGTCGTGATCGATAAGTTCTCCAAAATGGGTCACTTCATCCCGACCAACGCCACAGCTACAGCTGAAGCAACTGCTCGACTCTTCTTCGACCGCATCATCACCATCCACGGCACCCCCCTACACTCATCTCAGACAGAGACCCCAAATTCACGAGTAAGTTCTGGAAGGAGCTCATGGGACTGTTGGGGACTAAGCTTGCGATGTCTTCAGCATACCATCGTTAGACAGACGGACAGACAGAGTGACTCAATCAAGTGGTTGAACAGTTACTGCGCACAGCTTGCAAGGACGACGTCAGCCACTGGGACACACAGTTACCGACCCTAGAGTTCGCCTACAACAACGCATCACATGCGGCCACAGAGAAAACTCCTTTCTTCCTGTGTTACGGACGGGAACCACTCACCCCACAGCAGCCAACCACACCGGCACACGTCCAAGCCGCACACGACTTCGTCACCACCATGCAATAGCTATGGGAGAAGACTCAGCGGCGTCTTACAACGATGCAGAGCTCCTAGAAGCGGTATGCCGATCGCCAGCGACGTGATCACATGGTAGCAGTCGGATATTAGGTGCTTCTCGACACGCGCAACTTGAACCTGTCTCACCTACCATCCAAGCTCCGGCCTCGCTTCTGTGGTCCTTTTCTCATAGAGACACAGGTGACACCAGTTACATTCCGCTTGCGCTTATCAGATTCATGGAAGCTTCACAACGCTTTCCATGTTCAGCTACTGAAACCCTACAAGGTCCCCAACCAATAGTTCCAGGGATGGCAGCTACCGCCACCACCACCTGTACTCGTACAGGATGAACTAGAGTACGAGATCGAGCATGTTCTCACTCATCTGCATCGAGGCGGCAAGGCCCTCGAGTTCCTAATACGCTGGAAGGGATACAACCCCACTAAGGACAGTTGGGTTGCAGAAGCTGATATGGGCAATGCACGCCGTGCTCTCAAGGACGATCTTGTCAAGCAGGGTGTATCTCACACCACCCAGCTTTGAGGGGGGGACGTGTGAGAGTACGACGGCTTATGCCAGCTATGCTTGCTTGCCTTTACTTTATCATTCTATTCCTAACATAGGTTTATTTTATGGATGCATGAATTGCTTGATTTCCTAGGCTAGGTGCTTTCCTATATTCTATTATAGTTATAGAACCGAGCTAGGTTGCGTACACCAAATTCTGGGCTCCTCAGTTGCCACCGAATTGCCTTCTACCGAATTCGGGAAGGATGTGTTCGGGACGCTTCGCGACCCTCAGAACCTTCGCGTAACACCTGGGTACTGGGCCTTGTGTCGAGCCTATATATAGCCTCGTGTTGTACCCAGGTGATGATTCAATTCAAACCCACTTTTCTGAGCTCGATCCTAGATCCTCACAGACGAGGTCCCCTCCGGGGGCGAACATCGTCAGTGGCATGTGGATTTTCAGGGTGAAGCGGCCGCCGGGTTCTCCGCCTACCTTCAAGGCACGTTACGTTGCTCGAGGCTTCAGTCAGCGTGAAGGGGTTGACTTCTTTCAGACCTTCTCCCCCACTCCGAAGATAACCACTCTTCGGGTATTGCTACACGTTGCAGCTCAGCGTGATAACGAGCTTCACTCTCTTACTTCAGCACAGCTTTCTTACAGGGCAGCCTGCACGAGGAGATCTGGCTGCGCCGCCCACCTGGCTTCACTGGGTCGTTTCCTGCAGGTACCCAATGGAGCCTCCAGCGGCCAGTCTGCGGTCTCCTACATGGCATGTTTTTTCTTGCTAGGTTGTGATCAGTGTACTGCCTTGCTATTATAACTCAGCATGTGAACTGACCTTGTGGCTGCTTGCATGTGGTATCCTTGAGATCCACCCTGGGCTTTGCTTTGCTTTGTTCTCTTGCCTGACTGGTCTTGTGACTGTTAGTTGTATTAGCTAACGCCCACTTAGCCTATGGGGGTGTGTCAAACATTATATGTTTATGCTTTGTCGGCTATAGTGGGGCTTGCCTTAGAGGGGATATAGCTCTTGGGTTTTCTACTTGTATTCCACTCAGTTCTAGTTCATTCAATCCTGCAGAGATGATTCTGACACGAGACTCCCCCCACTCCACCCCGTTTCTCCCCTCCCTGATTCGCCCCTTCCCCCAGCCCACCGTAATCCACCCAAAACCCCCCCCCAGCCCACCCCGTTTCTCCGCTCCCTACTTCTCTCGCCATCCCCAACCCAACAATGAAGCAACAAAAACGAATCTAGGGGCCACCCCGCATATGCGCACATAAGCAAGAATGCTAATGCCGAAACCCACCATACCTACTACCCAGAATCAACAGCAAGAGCAGCAGCAGTGTTGACTGCGAGCCCCGGTGAGAGGTCAGCACAGCGCATGAGAGGCAGGTGGGGCACCGCAGCCAGGGCACGCTCCAGCAGCAGTGGCTGGCCGTCAGGGCACTGACCCTGGGTGGGGGGGTGGTGGTAGCACGGCTCTGGGGGGCAAGGGGGGCAGGAGGAGGAGGCAAAGCGGGCCGGGGTGTGGGGGGCGAGGGCAGCAATGAGGTAGCCGAAGGTGGAGGTGGGAGAGAGGAGGAGGGAGTGGGAGAAGAGGGCGAGGGAGAAGAGGTCGATGATTGCATCGTCCACGTTGCGCCCGTTGCTGTTGTCCTGCTGCTCCTCCTCCGTCAGCTGCACCACCTCCACCTCCGCCCTTGTACCACCACTGCTGTTGTCCCTGCCGCTCTCGCTGCTCAAAGTGCCACCTTCCGCAGGGCTGGTGCTGCTGCTGCTGCTGTCGGTTGCCATGGGGTCGTACCGTATGGCCCCGCATATGCGGCGCAAATGATAGAACAAAAAATTCACCAATCCATCCATCGCCAATGCCTACAACGCTTCTTTGAGCAGCATAGGAATATGACACACAATGTTCTTGTAGTTGTGTTGTTTGATCACATGTTGCTTCTAGCAGGATGGTCGGAGTAGGATTATGACCTTACTTTATTGAACGAATCACTCTTGTTGGTGAATTTGTTGTACCATAATAATCTCACTTGTCTTACCCCATACTGCAAGGAGTTGTGCACATGAACGCTTGCGTTTTAGTAGGAGGTCATACCGTATGGCCCCGCATATAGGTGTCGTCCTATTATAAGAGGTCATAGGCACCGGCGCTTTTATCTGGAGCATGGCGCTTATGGCCGGAACTCGATTATAAGCGCCCCCCCCTGCAAAACCCTGATATATGACTACAATATCACATTTAACAACCAGAATCACATGATCCTAGACAGAAAGAGGAAAAAGGGAAAGAGAGACATAAATGAAGGAGAAGGGAGGTGGAGAAGGAAAGGGAGGAGGAAAGTAAAACTGCCAAAAAAACTCAAACGCGACACCTATAAAAAGCCCCATCAAGATACTCAATCAAAACACCCAGTCAAGACATCCCATCAAGACACCCCATCCCGCACCCCATTTCACCCCCCCTCAGTCACATCTGCGCATCCACCATGTACAGGGCCTCCACCCAAAGAGCCCCTCCCTCCACCTCGACGTGGTCCCTTTCCCGGTCCACCAAATCCACATTCATTCCCCCCATGGAAGACGCCGCCCGAAGCAGAATGACACAAGCTTGCGCCCGTTGTAACTCCACCCCGATGAGCGCCTTCAGAGACCCCAAAATATAAGCCGAAAACAAAGTGTCATCCTCCCGACAAGCCCCCAGTGACACAGCTAGCCCCACGTGCGCATCCCCCTGTTGTCGAAGCCACCGCCGGAAACGACCGCCGAGACACCCCCACGTCTCTACTTTTTTTTTTTTTTTTTGGGACATAATACACTACACAATGCATCACATCCGCAGTCGTAACTGAAGGAGGAGGGAGGCACAGACCAACCTAATAGGGTTTGCAATGTCCTCCCTGTTGATCGCTTACGGTGTTGGTGCAATCCTACGGTTTGCACTTGCCTTGTTGCCCGTGTGCGTGCATGCGTGTGTGCGTGGAATGGTATGAGGGCATGGGATAATATATATTTCATGCTTATAATAATGTGTGAATGATGGGTCATGATGTCGAGTGTGTGTGTGTCAAGTCAATAGCGAATTATCGCTAGTCGCGTGTAACGTGGTCATTTTGTGTGTCCCGCGCGGTTTCTATTTTGTCGTGCGCGGTTTCTATTTTGTCGCTTGTCGAACGTTCGGCGTGTCGCAGGTGTGTGCAGCAGACCCATCAAGAACTCAAGGATGGGTTTGTGATGAAGAACCCGAGCCCTGGTGTCAACATTCAAGTGATCGCGAAGCTCGCCAACAGGGTACACCTCAAGAGATTGAAGATCGTTACATTACTTTGTGTAGTGTAACATTTCACTTGGTGTAGGCCCTAGTGAAGGGTACTTTCGAGACCCTTCGTGGTTGGAGACAGTGTGCCACTGTTCCACTTCACTGTACCTCGGCTCTTGGGGTTTGTAGGAGCTGGGAGTCATTCCCAACTCGTAACTCTTCCTATCTTGTGTTTTAAAACTATAGTGGCTGCCATAGTGCCGTTCGTTCAAACCGACGCTGTGTCGTCAATACTTGGTGAGATCGTGCGACCTAAATTGCCTGGCGACGTTAAGACGCTCCAGATCCAAGTTGAATCAGGTCATTTGAAGCTGTGACCAGAACGCTATGAACGTTTAAAGCCACTGTGCAGAAATCCGACTGTGCACTCTATCTTTCGTTTTAGGCACATTGAAGCCTACTGTGACTATAACATACGGAGGCTTAAAAAAGGTACTAGGTCTCTCCCATATCGAGCTGAAGGCCTTGTTCCACGTCAGATGCTCGTCTTGTTCACATATACGGCTCAGTGCTGCCACCTCTCCAGCTGTCAAGAGTTGCCCTCCTCTAGCTCCTCTCCCCTTTTGTCCCCCTTTTCTGCCACTTCCTCCACTGTAGATCCGCACATGCCTCTTGAAATTGGCCCCAATCTTCCTGGCCACGCGTCTGGGCTCAAAGGTTTTCTGCCGGAAAACCATGTCACATCTTTCCAACCAAATGTGCCTGAACGTGACTGCGATAAGCGTCGATTCCGGAAAACCGGATGGTGTGCTGTCTTCGGCGAATAACAACTCTCCCAGTGTGCCCACCGCTCTTGCTGGGTGCGAGTCTTGAAGCGCGCCACAGATGAGAAGATTTGAACAAGAATGGGTGAACTATGAAATGAAGTGAGTACAAATATGAAACCCTAATTGGTTGTACCCCCTATGGGATACCCCACTATAGCCTACACAACAGCATAAGCTACAATGTTCTGACACACCCCCATAGGCAAAGTGGGGGAGAACAAGGGGTCACAAGACCAGTCAAGCAAAGTAAAGCAAAGCAAGCTCAGGGTGGATCACAAAGTCACCACACAGTCCGAGCACAGGGTCAAGGCCACACGGCCAGTTCACATGCAAGAGTACACACATATATATAAAGCTAGACAAGCAAGAGCAGGTATATATATATGTGAGAGTACAGGCAAGGTCAAGAGGAGAGCAAGTGAGGAAAGACGGGCACAAGACCCAGCTGAGTGCAGAAGCGCTGATGATCACAAGGCGGAAGTGCCTTGGTCACGTACGCAAGCCGCAACTGACCACGTTGCTGTAGCTCACGAGCAAGGAAGTAGCGGAGAGCAATGTGCTTTGTTCTGTGCTCCAGTCGCTGCTCTCGACACAAGGCCAGCATGGCCTTGTTGTCTACGTACAGGACTGGAGGAGAACGAGGCGGCTCTCCAAGGTCGGTCAGCAGGTAGGTGAGCCAGCGAAGCTCCTGTGCAGCCATGGCCCCGGCGTAGATCTCAGCCTCACAACTCGAGCCAAGAACAGAAGACGAGCGAGTAGCCCGCCACGAAACAGAGCCGGAACCAAGGCTGAAGGTGTAACCCTGTGACGACCGCTGCGTAGCCTGGTCGTCAGCCCAAGAAGCGTCCGCGTGCCCAGTGAGGACCACTGGACTCCGCCCTCCAAGCACTAGCCCCATGCCCGACGTACTGCACAAGTAGCGCAACACCCTCTTCGCTGCAGCCATGTGCTCTGGTCTGTGTCTCCCAGGAGCAACATAGCGTGCAAGAATGCTAAGAGGGTATGCAAGGTCAGGTCGTGTGCAGGTCATCAGGTACATGAGGCAGCCAACAAGCTCTGGGTACGGGCCACTCGACTCTACGGACTCATCCGAAGGCAGAGCTGAGAGCGAGTGGCGAGTAGACAGAGGAGTGGCCTGAGGCGAGGAGTACGTGAAGCCGAAGCCAGAGACACTGCAACCGGTCGACTCAGCGGTGTGAGTGTGGTGCGGTCCCGAAAGAAGGAGCGAGACGCCCCAGAGTCAAGGGTGAAGGTGAGGGAGGCCGAAGCCGACGCAGGACCTGAGAGCGCAGACTCACCAGTACCTGAGGACGCAGACACACGAGCACCTAGAGCAGCAGCGTCGCAAGCACCTAGGGCAGCAGCCTCACCAGGACCTAGAGCAGCAGTCTCAATGCCCGGATCGGGCGGGAAACACCGGTAACAGTCACCCTCATCACTAATGGACACAGCATAAGCTACAATGTTCTGACAACAGATTCCCTTAACCACTGGGCAGCTCATCAAACAGTGAGTTGGCGACTCTTCCTGCTTGGAGTAGGGGCAGCATGCACAAGAACCGAAGAAAGCCAACCTGATGCCCACTTGCAGGTTGTGACTGTGTAACCTCAACAGTACCTCTCTTGCTTTGGCTGGAATTGCCAGCGAGTCTCTCTTCGCGATGGCTTTACCCCAGTCAATCTTCCCTCCCCAGTTCTCCTCCCACTTCTTCTGCTGCTTAGGCTGTTATGCCGGTTTCCTGAGCAGATGTCTCAGCTTCCTTTGCGCCGTAGGTTTTCCCTCCTCACACAAAAACGTGGCCCTTAATCTTGTACGTGGATCACCCGCCTGACCCAACAAACAGCCTCCTTTGGCCACCATTGGAGTTAATATACTTAGCATCGCCGGCGGTTGCGTCTCGATTCCCAGCTGCATAATTTTCCCTTTGTTGTCCACCTCCACTCTTTCGCACTTCAGCTCCTTGTTTTCTGCTAGCGCCACCTACAGATGACTCTGCCTCCCCCCTACCGTTTTTCCAACTTTGACCAGGGTCGTAGCTTCAGCAATTTCCACCACCGTCACCTTCGCGAGTAATTTCTTTTACTATGAAAGGGGTGAACTGCATGCCCCGGTTGCGTGCAAGCAGAGGCGCGTAATCAGTCATTTTGCGACGCTCTCTCTCCTTTGCCACCACACCTATAGAACGCCCGCACTGCCCTAGCAGAGATGGAGACAGCGATAGCGGGTCCGCGACGCTGATCTCTAAAGCGTGAGGCTCTCCGGCCATTGGTCGTCGCACCGCTACGTCAACCCGCTTCCCCAGCAGCACCACACTATCCTCCATCATCACCACCCCCCCTGACGCCTTAGAGATCCTCGCCACCGCAAACTTCACCTCATCATGCACCAAAAATGGACCGTGCTGGTGCTTGCATCTCAGGGCATGATGCGGGTCTGCTGGGTCAACATACGCTGTGCCACAAACACACCTCCTTGCCACCTGCAGCTGCTGAATTGGGAGCCCGAGCCGTATAGTAGCAGCAATGCCCCACTCAGCCGCAGTGAATGTGAGATCTGAGTGAGCCGGGACCGCCAAAACCCATGCACCAGCCCCCGAGCCCTGAAGGGATGTGAAACGGGCCAGGGTGGCATCGTCACGAGCCGAGCGGCGCAGTGCCTGGAGCTCCTCTACAGCCAACTGCCGTTGCCGCACCTGAAAAACCCGAAGAGGAGGGGCCGCTACACACAGAGGTAAGCCCGACATCTCCTGGCGTATAGTCGCAGGCAGCTGC